GGGGGTCGTTCTAGTCTATAGAGTTTAGCACTTGGGTTTTTGCTGACAGGTTATAGTTTAGGGTTAAGGTGTTGAAGGGTTCCGTTTGGGGTCTGAGACTCAGGGTGTAGACCTATGTTATCATTAAATTGCGGGCCTTTCTAAGTTGTCATTATATTACGGGCCTTTCTAATAAGGGCTTTCTGAGCGCTTTAGGCGAGCTCCCGAGTTTTTTGATGGGTAGGGTTCTTATCGCATTGCATTGTCTAGGGGATCCTTATCACAAGGATTCTGTCATGCAGGGTCCATGTTGCTCAAGGATCATGAGACTTAGCAACTCAAGACATGAATAATAAGGTAAGTAGACTTGCAGAAACTAGTGACCCCACATCAGGTACTTGTAACCTGACTTGTTAAGTCCCATGATCCTCCAGGTACTTTTATAGAACCCTAAACCCTAAACCCTAAACCAAAAAATGAAATAAACCCTAAATAAACCCTAAACCCTCAACGACAAAAAAGAATCCCCTCATACATCCCTTGAAGGGGCCATGGTCTGGCTTCCTGAAACTTTGACGATGCACCGCTTTGGAGGTTCGACTTGAAGCTCTAACGGATCAGCGATTCAAAGTTTAGGGTTCAGGGTTTAGGGTTTAAGGATTCAAACTTGGCGTTTTTGGGCCCTGAAACATTGCAGAGCTGGTTTTTGGAGTGCCTTTTTGAATCGGAAGGCACCCTTGAAAGAAGTGAAGTGAACCCTAAAACCTGAACCTCAAGAGAGGAGCTCGAGCGAGGCCCTGCGGCTGTTAACTCCCACCCGTGAGGTTCACTGATTGGAAGCCAATGCAGCAGGGTTTTGGATCTAGCAATCCGATGGGGTACTCGAATCCGGATTACAGAAAAACTTGCCGAAACCCCCAAGCCACACCCTTATGGAGCCCTTACACAACCAGTACAGAACGCTGCTAGGGCTCTTATACAACATCCTAAAATCGTAGAGGACCCGATATCTTTCATTGTACAACCCTAAGCAACCCTGAAGCTCCAAAACCCAAAACAACCCTACAGTAAACCCCATAAAGTTGGAAACCAGATTCAGGCCAAATATTGCTGGAACTCCCCATACATTACTCTTCAGGATTGAGGCTATTGGGTTTCCAACTTTCCCTGGGCATCAAAATAGCACAGAACCCTTATATAATATGGTCTTTGGGCCCAAAAGCCTTAATATATGAGTCCTTAGATGCCTAGGGTTTTGGGCTTCCACTGTAAAGTCCCCAACCCTAAACCCAACGCCATGAGTTCTCACACCCCTTTCTGGACTTTGAAATAACCTGGGAGAAAAAAGTATAGACTTGTATTCCGTAATGGTTCCTTTAAGGGACATATAGACGTTTATTCCATAATGGTTCCTTTAACGAACATATAGACGTTCATTTCATAATGGTTCCTTTAAGGGACATATAGATGTTTATTCCATAATGGTTCCTTTAAGGAAAAGGTACCAAAAAAAGCATTCAAGGCTTTTGGCTTCCTAGTGTTCACCCACCGGCCACGGGTCTAAGAAGCCTCTCGCTTGCAAGCCCCGGGGGATTCCGAAAACTTTGACGGATTTTGGGAGCAGTACTTGGAGGTTCATGGGACTTAGTAAGTACAGTTATAAGGTCCCATGAACCTCTAAGTAGGGGTTTAGGGATCTCAGGCCTTTCGGGTTTAGGCTTCAGGGTTAAGGGGGGGGTTAGGCCTTTCCGGTTTAGGCTTTAAGGATTGAGGGTTGAGGGTTTAGGGCTAAGGGTTGAGGGTTTAGGCCACCCCTCTGGGCAGTAGCCGCAGTGACGACCACGAATAATCCTGCTGCTGCTGCTGCTGCTAATCCTACCACTACAACTACAACTAGAACTGCAGCTGCCCCATCTGCTGCCAGAGCTGTAATCTACTGCTGTTGCTATTTGTCAGCCATATCATATCCATATGATTTTGGGGAATATGGCAATGATTAGACCCCGGCATTGCTGGTACTTATGTTGCTGCTGTAGTATTTTTGCTGCGCCTAGCGAGATTATTCGTACTACTATTGGCAATTGCATCAGTCGTCCTTGCCATGAAAATGACACTGAGACTCACTATCACAGCACCAGTACTTACCGTTGGTTAGTAGGGAATGGAGGAATGGGGTACAATTATAATTACTATTACCACCATTCTTCCATTCCCTACTAACCAGCGGTAAGAGTAACACTAAACCTTGAACCCCCCGCAGGGGCTTGCAAGGAGGAAGCTCCGAATTTCAGGCTCGGGCTCACAACTACGGCTGGCGCATTGGTTTGGGGTTCTTACTCCCCCAAAAAGCCACAGAAATAAAAGGTCAAACTATCCGATTCCTACTAAACTATAAGAACCCAAAAAGTTTAAAGTTTGGGTATTGGGGATCTAAGCGTTTAGCTGCTTGAAAGGATGGTCAAAAATTCGTTCGGGGTCGCAGGCAGGGGTTTGGAACCTCATGGAAATTTTTGGGGGTATATTATAGTGCAAATGCAAGAGGGAACCCCAAGAGACAATTTTGGTGATTATTCACACTTCCATTCTGAATTCTACCCCCTAAACCCCAGGCGGCACATCATACACCCTCTAGCCAGCGCCAACGGATCGGTGGCTTATTCTAGACCTAGTAACCTAGGAATAAAAAGGGTGCCCTTTTTGGTTTAAAGGGGCTTATAAGGGAACCTAAACCCTAAAATGGGGAAGCAGGGCCTACTCCGGGTCCTTGTAGAACCCGCACCCTGGGCCTCCGAGTGTCGAAGAAGCCGCAGGGATTAGTATTTGGCATCGTGTTCGGCTCCCAGAGAGCCCAAAATCCGTTAGTTAAGGAATATAGCTTAAATCATAATATGAAGCCCGTCATAGTTTAAGGTATATTCCTTAATTAAGGGGTATTGGGCTCTCCGGGCTTGGCTTCAGGTATGGGGTTTTCGGGTTTAGGGTCAAAGCTTTTTGGTTTGTGGCTTCAACTTCTATGGCTGGGTTGCAGACTTTTCCTCAGGGCTCCCCAATAGTGTTTAGGGTTCAGCGCTTAGGGTTTAAGGTTTAGGGTTCAAGGCTTAGAAGTGCCCGAAAAACCCTCTACTAATTGTTAAATCTCTGCTTTTAGTACCCGTTGCTCGGCAGTAGCTGCAGCCAACCACATCTTCGATGTGCTTCGCCCAAAGGTGCATTTACACTGCGAGCTGCCGGCGATGGCAGTAGGTGACGCCGCAGAATCTTCAAGGTGCTTTCATATGGGCGGTTGTCAAAATTAGGGTCCCTTTTTGAGCACCCTAAATATAAGGTGCCGTATTATACTAGGGACCCAAAAAGGGACCACAATTTTGACAACCACCCATATTAGTATGGGTTCTATAAAAATTCTAGGTTTTAGGCTTTGGGGTTTAGAGTATGGGGTTTTGGGTCTTAGTGCCCACTCCAACTCTTACCATAAACCTCAATCCTAAACCCTGAACCCTAAACCTCGAACCCTAAACTGCCCTAAACCCCACACCTCGGAATCTGCGACACTTCAGCGCAAGTTGATCTCCTAAGAACCAGCTCTAAGGTCTTGTCGGCCAGTCTACTGAAGACTGCATAACTTAAAGAGGGTTCCTTAAGACTATACTGAACTTAGAACCCTAGCAAAAAATATAATTTTAGCTGTTTCTTAGGGATTATATTTAACCAAAAATGAAAGATCATTTCCAAGTACGCCCAAGAAGAGTTCCTTAAACCGTTCTCAGGGTTCTACGAGGCAAACCTACAGTTGATATAGCCTAGTGATCCCTAATTCTCCCTAGTACTCCCTAAGGTTCCCTTACAGTCCCCTAAGGATTCCTTATACCCTCCCCCCTTGAACAAGGGAGGATCCTATAATACAGGACCTAGGAGCGGCAAGACCTGCCCTGATGAGGGAAGCAGAACATGTCGAAGACCCCTAAAGCGGTGTAAGTTACAAGGGGCCTAAATGATTGAAATATAAGGGGGTTCCTTAAAAGGGTACCTCTAAGGGATACTACAAGGGCTCTATCATAAGAATAAGCTAGAAGGGGCCCCCACCCTGTAATACTTTAAAGGGATCTATAAGGGTTCTACAAGGGGGATTTTAGGGCCTACTTAAAGGACCATGGGCCTTCATCATAAGAATAGGTAACCCAGAGACTCCAATATCCCTTAATTAAGGAATATTCCTTAAAATATAGTAGGATCCCTAATATGATTTAAGGTATATTCCTTAATTAAGGGATAGTGGAGTCTCTGGGAAGTTAGAAGGGGCCTCCCACCCTGTAATAGTGGTATAATCGGAACATAATAGGGCCCTAATATAATCCTAATAGTCAGTATTACAGGGTGGGGGCAGCTTCTAAAGTGTAAGCCTCTTGCTCCCGGCAGATCTTAGATGGCCTCAAGCCCGAAGTCAACATGTGGGCCTTCAAAATGCGAATAGGATTTGCTGGTCTTACACTAGACATACAGAACCTTGGTGTCTCGCACTCCAATTTTGAGGAACCCTAAGGCATAGTACTGGTAATCTTGGCAGCCTCTGAAGTAGTCCTGGTCGCCGACTGCACATTCCGGAGCACTGGATGGCCACATGGCTGCCATTAATATAGGGGCCTCGATAATTAGAAAAGGGTTTTGGCGCATTTTATACTATAAATATAATAAGGAACCCCCAAAATAGTATTGTTAATGATTTAGGCCCCTATATTACCCCTCGTTCCTTTGAAGCCCAAAGCAAGGCTCCAGGCTATCAAATCGAAGCTGGGGGATGTTGCGGTAAGGGTTTAGGGTTAGGGCTTTAGGGTTTCGGGTTTTACGGTTTTAGGTCTTTAGGGTTTAGGGTTTACGGTCTAGGGCTTTAGGGTTTTAGGGCTGAGGGTCGGGCTTGTAGGGTTTAGTGAGCTGGGCTTCAGGGAGACCCGGACAGGAACTGGAAACGGTTGGGGTTTAGGGTGTAGGGTTTTCACCTGAGTCTTTGTACAGGAAAGGCTGTGTCAGGCAGCATCTGCCTCCTTCTTCTCCTCAACGCCCGGCTCAGCTGCGTTTGCGGCATCGGGCACTTCGTCCTTCGATTCAGGTTGGGCTGGCTCGGCTGGGGCAGGTGTTGCCCCAGAGACCTCGTCTTCCTTCTTCTCCGCCGCCGCTTCCGCCGGCGGCTCCACCGGCGCATCCACAGCTGGAGCCTCTTCCTTCTTCTCTTCAGCTGGAGCCTCTTCCTTCTTCTCTTCAGCTGGAGCCTCTTCCTTCTTCTCTTCAGCTGGAGCCTCCTCCTTCTTCTCCTCAGCGGGAGGCTCGGTGGTCTCCGGCGGAACGTCTTGTGCTGCGGTGACGGTTTCTTCCTTCTTCTCCTCAGCTGGTGGGCTCGCGCCTTCTGCTGCCGCTTCTTCCTTCTTCTCCTCTGCTGGCTCAGTGGTCTCTGGAGAAGGATTGGTGGCCTCGGATGGCGCACTGAATAGCAAGGAAAGTGAAACTACCTCTTAGCCGTAGCCCTACACGATTTTGTACATGTTCCTTGTACATGTTTGCATGCCCGCACTGCCTTCAAAGTTACGCAAAGACAACGTATGCACAAACTAAGAGCCTTAATGTTTGGAAGAGGGCTGTGGGAGATACTAAAGTGCGGCTTTATGAGGCCTGCAGGCGGACACTGTTTCTGATTGCGCAGGCCTCTACATCACATGTAGCAACCAACGCCCCGATGCCTACGCTTGTGCTGTAAAGCCGCAAACTCGAAGCTACGAATGTGAGGATTGTACAGGAAACGGTTCATAAAGAAGTTCATGGATGTCACCAGTCGTTGTAAGCCTTGCAAAACCATAAGAGAAATGCAAACTTCCCTGAAACCTCCTGACCATAATAATAACAATAATAATAATAATAATGGTAATAATGACAATAACAAATACAACTATACCGAACTTAGAACCTTAGCAAAAATTTGTAATTTTGGCTATTTCTTAGGGATTATAGTAACCAAAAACTAAAAATTATTTCAAAGTACCCCTAAGAACAATCATCACAACGAAGCTGAGGCTCCTCCGCGGCCTCACCCGGGCCCTCAGCGGGAGCTGCATCGCCATCTCCTGCGGGGTGGGGGGGGGGGGGGGGGCGGTTCAGGGTTTGGGGTTTAGGGTCCCTAAACCCTAAACCCTAAACAAAGTTCAAGGTGTTTAGGGTTTGGGTTTCGAGTTTCTTCAGGTAGGTATCTACCCTTTTTCTTCCTAACCCAAAGTATCTTAGCCCCAAAACCCTAAACCATCCTAAAGCGAAACCCCAACGCTGGAACCCATTTCGACACCCTACAGCCTCAACCCTCAACCCCAAATACCCTATCCGAGGCCCTAACCCCGTAACCCTCAAACCCCTGAACCCTTGCAGCAAAAACTCTTGCAGCCCTTATAAAACCTGCAAAACAAACCGCGGAGATCCCTTTAAAGGAACCTTACGATCTCTTTAAAAGAACCCTAGAGATTGCTTTAAAGGAACCCTAGAGTAAAAGAACCCTAGAGATCCCTGTACAGGAACCCTAAAAATCCCATTAAAGGGACCCTAGACATCCCTTTAAAGGAACCCTAGAGATCCCTCTAAAGGAGCCCTAGGGATCTTCAAACGAACTCTAGAGATCCCTTTAACGGAGCCCTAGGGATCCCTTTAAAGGAACCCTAGGGATCCTTTACATCCCTACCCAGAGACTCCAATATCCCTTAAGTAAGGAATATACCCTAAATCATATTAGGGATCCTAGTATAATTTAGGGTATATTCCTTAATTAAGGGATATTGGAGTCTCTGGGTATAGAGGAGCCCTAGCAATCCGGATATAGAGATCCTTTACATCCCTTTAAAGGAGCCCCTGGGGTATTCCTTTAGAGGGGCCCCTGGTCGTGTCCTTTCACCGCCGCCTTCGCCGCCGAGGCGGCCTCGCTGGCCAGCGCCGCGGCACCGGAGGCCGCGGACTGGAGCTCCTCTGGGGGGTTTAAAGGGGTTCCTTTTAAGGGATCTAATTCCTTAAGGGTTCCTTTTAAGGGTTTAGGGTTTAGGGATTCCTTTTAAGGGTTTAGGGTTTAGGGGTTTTGGGGGGTTTGGGGGTTTTAAGGGGTTGGGGGGTTCCTAATCAAAAATATAGTAATGGGCCCCAAAACCCTATTCTAATTGTTAAGGCCCCTATATTCGGAGCTCCTCTGGGGGGTTTGGGGGTTTAAGGGGTTCCTTTTAAGGGTTTAAAAGGGTTCCTTCTAAGGGTTTAGGGTTTAGGGGTTCCTTTTAGTCGTTCGCGCCAAGCCGGTGCCGCCCACAGACGACAGCTCGATCCGCAGGTGATCTTCAGGGACCTTCAGTCTGAGGGTAGCCGCCCGGTTGAAACGCTTCTGTCGACTGTTGTGGCTCCGGTTGAGGAGGTTGACCTGGACGAGAGTGCCATTGTTTTGAGCACTGAGGTGTCGTGGGACCCAACCTTGCCCTTCACTTGTGCTGGAAGGCCCTTGGACGTTGTGCATGCTGAGGCTGATAAGATTTGGGTTGCAGATGCTCATCACATTGCTGTTGGTCAGCTCGTTGAACAGCATCGCTTGTTGGGGAGCCTTACACAACTCTTTCGAGCGTTTGCTGATGAGTGGGCTAACCGCTGGCACCGGCATTGTTGCACTCCTGCTAGCCGCTGGGATCGGGTTTTGGAGTCGCTTGATGCGTTGCCGACAGTGTCGCCCATGACCTTGGAGCCTTTGACACATGAGGTTTGGCACAAAGCCGTTCGCCAGAAAAAGCCCCGTACTAGCCCGGGCTTGGATGGTGTAGGTCGTGAAGACCTCCTGTTGCTACCGTGGGACCTGACACAGCACGTGTTGGAGCTCATTGAGCATGCGGAATGCACCGGGGAGTGGCCCTGTCAGGCCCTGGATGGTGTAGTGAGTTCCATCGAAAAGGTTGTTGGCGCCACGTCTGTCGACCAGTTTCGACCGATTACCATTCTTTCCATGGTATATAGGGTTTGGAGTTCTATCCGCGCCAGGCAGTGCTTGCAGCACCTTGCGGCTGTTGGTCACCATGCGGTGCATGGCAACATGCCGGGGCGCACAGTTGGGTCCATTGTTTATGCCATCCAATTCGCAGCCGAGTGTGCTTTCTTGGATGATGTGTCTTTGTGCGGACTCACGGCGGACTTGGTTAAAGCTTTTAACTTGTTGCCGCGCCCTCCAATCTTTGCCCTTGCGGCCCGCATGGGTATTCCAACACCTGTCATCAAGGCATGGTCAGGGGCGGTGGTCCGCCTACAGAGGCGCTTCCGCATACGTGATTCGGTTGGGCCGGCCATGGTGGCCTTCACGGGATTTGCTGAAGGTGACGCCATGAGCTGCGTTGCCATGTCCCTTGTCGTGCATGCTTTACACATGTCGCTTGACCGCCTGGCGCCGGCCGCCCAGACACAAAGTTACGTCGATAATTGGATGGCCACGGCCCCTACAGCGCCGGACCTGTTGGTAGCAGCAAGGGCCATTGACAGTTTTGCGGACGATTGGGATCTGCAACTTGACCCCAAGAAAACCCGGGTTTGGGCGACTACAGCGAGGGAACGACAGCACCTTCGCGCTGAGGGCCTTACTGTGGTCCACGCGATGCGAGACCTTGGCGCTCATCTCCAATTCTCCTTACGGCGTTCCAACTCGACCCAAGTTGAACGAATCCGTGCCATGGATCCCTTGTGGAGCCGGCTCGCTGCGTCCTTTGCCCCCTACTGCCAGAAGGTGCGTGCCGTAGGTGTGGCTGCGTGGCCCAGGGCGCTTCACTCAGTCGCCCTGGTTCAGCTTGGACCCAGACACTTTGATGGCCTTCGTGCGGGAGCCATGCGCGGTTTGGGAGCGAAAGCACCAGGGGCCAACCCCAGGATCCATTTGGGCTGGATTGAGAATCCCAGATGCGATCCTGAGTTCTACGCTTTGCTGCAGTCCTTCCTGAGTGTGCGTGCCTTTTGCTCTCAAGATCAGGCGGCAGGGCCACTGCAGGCCATTCTTGAGCGTGAGCCTAAACATTCGCCAGGGCCTATTGGGGTCCTTTTGCAACGGGCTAATGCTGTGGGCATTGCGTGGAGCGTCCATGACGCTTCTTTCCAGGATTCACTAGGCATCCTTTGCCCCTGGACGTCTCCACTGCACGAGTTGCATTTGCGCCTTGAGTGGGCGTGGGAACAAGCGGTTGCGAGCTGTGTGAAACAAAGGGCTGATTTTCAATTTGCGTGTGATGCCGATCCTGGCTACACCCGCAGGGTTATGCAGCATCGTTGTCCTGGGGATAAGGCTTTCCTTCGGGTTGTTTTGGGTGGTTCCTTTTTCACTGAGGACAAGTTGTACCACGTGGGCCAGAACGATTCCCAAGCCTGTCGAGCTTGCGGTCTTAAGGATGGCGTGGTCCATAGGCTGTTTGAGTGTCCGCACTTTGAGGACTGCCGCCCAGCCTCTTCGAGGCTGCAGGAACTCAAGTCTCTCTCTGTGACTCAGGTGACATACGGATGGGCCTGCCGATCTGATAAGCTTGAGGAATTGCGTAGGGCCTTATTGGCCTTGCCTGATACCACAGGGTTTTTCGCCACCTTCCCTGATAGGTTCGAGTATGACATCTTCACTGATGGATCTGCGGCTTGTGGCAATGACCCCTACTTGCGTCACGCAGCGTGGGCTGTGGTGATTGCTCACAGTGACTTCCGTGAGGCAAGCCTTTTGGCGTCCGGAGTGGTGCCAGGCCTGATGCAGACTAGTTTCCGAGCTGAAGTTCTAGCAGTTGCGGCTGCTCTGCGCTTTGCGGTACATGCTCGGCGACCCATCCGCATTTGGTGTGACTGCCAGAGCGTGGTGCAGCGGCTTCGCCGTATCCTTGAAGGTGATCGGGGCCTTGATGCAGCGCAACGCCATGGCGAGCTGTGGGGATTAGTTGAAGAGCTAGTTGATCAGTTGGCCTCGCCGGTCACTGTGTGCAAAGTTCGAGCCCATGGACAAGACGCTGAGGACGGTGATGTGGCGGATGAGTGGGCGAAGTTCTACAATGATGCAGTTGATTTGGAGGCTAAGCGTGCAAACCTCCAGCGCTCCGATGAGTTTTGGAACTTGTGGGACGGGGTGCGGCGTCATTACAACCGCCAACACATCCTGGTTTCAGCCCTCCATGAACTGCACTTGAAGGTTGCCCACAAGGCGACTGGCACCTTGGTGCCTCGCTCTCAGCAGGAAGTTTCTGTGCCATTGGTGGTGGCCCCGTGTATGCCGCCTTGGCCCCCGCTGCAGGATGAGTCACGGCTCCGCTTCGCTAACAGATTTGGTTCTGAGTATGCCGGGGCACTAGGACGATGGGTGCAGCTCATCTTTGGAGATCCTCAGTTCGAGGGTGAGCCTCGCTAAATTTCCTTCCTCCAGTTGTACTGCGACTTCGCTATGACATTTGGTTGGGAGCCGCCAGTGCTTGATCAGGCCTCTAAGTCGTGGATTTTGGTTTCCCAGCTCCGCATGGGTTCGCTTGTGCAGCATGCCTTGGCCAAGAAGGTTAGGTGGTTCGCGCAGCAACTGAGATTCTTTGCACGTCTGGCTGGTATCGGCAATTGGCATCGTGAAGTGAGGCCTGCGTCGACCGTGCTACTGAACAAGATGTTGGCCATCCCGGTTCGGGTTCGACAGGATCGCATTGACGTCGTGGAGGCGCACCTCATCCAGGAGGCGGCGAGACACGGTCGTTTGAAGCAGGGTTGGAGATCCTTTCGAGTGCCCTCCCAAAGGGAGGAGCTGGGGCTCTAGGCCCTTTAGTTTGAGGCGCTTCCGCCTTGTGCCGAGGCGCTTACTGACATACAAAGGGATACAAAGGGTTTAGGGGTTTTGGGGGTTCCTTTTAAGGGATCTAATTCCTTAAGGGTTCCCTTGAAAGGGATCTATAAGGGGTCTTTGGGGGTTTAACGGTTCCTATTAACGGATACTAAAAGGCTTAATAATTAGAATAAAGTTTAGCTCCTCTAAATGGTTTGGGGGTTTGGGTTCCTATTAAGGGGTTAAGGGGCTCCTTCAAAGGTTTTCGGGTTTGCGGGTTTAGGGTTTAGGGCTCCTTTGGGCGTTTGGGTTTAGGGTTTAGGGTTCCTATCAAGGGGTACTGTAAGGCTTAATGTGTAGGGTTTAGGGTTTAGGGTTTAAGGTTTAGGGTTTAGGGTTAGAATAAGGTTTAGGACTGGAGCTCCTCTAAATGGTTTGGGGGTTTAGGATCTTTGAGGGGTCTTTAGGGCTTTAGGGGTTCCTTTAAAGGGTTTAGGGTTTAAGGTTCTGGGGGTTGAATGTAGGGGCGTCAAGAACTAAGTTTTAAGTATAAGGGTACTATAATGCAGGGGCCTTAATAACTAGAATAGGGTTTTCGGTCCATTATACTAGTAGGGGCCTGAAGAATTGCCTACACCTGGAGTTCCTTTGAAGGAGTCTTTTCAGGGCTACTTCTAAGGCTATGATAAGGATTTAGTATAGGGGCCTAAATAAATACTAATGCTATGTTGGGGGCTCCTAATTAAAAATATAGTAACGGGCACCAAAACCCTATTCTAATTGTTAAGGGTTTAGGGGTTTTGGGGGGTTCCTTTTAAAGGGATCTAATTCCTTAAGGGTTCCTTTACAGGGATCTATGAGGGGTCTTTGTGGGTTTAGGGGTTCCTTTAAAGGGATCTAGTTCCGGAAGGGTTCCTTTAAGGGATCTATCAGGGGTCTTTGTGGGTTTAGGGGTTCCTTTAAAGGGATCTAGTTCCGGAAGGGTTCCCTTAAGGGTTCGTAGGAGGGATCTGCAGGGTTTAGGGTTTTGGGGACCTTGGGCTTTTCGGGGGTCTGCAAGGGGTTTTGGGGGTTTAGGGTTAAGGGCATCTATGGGGGGGTTTAGGGTTAAGGGGTTTAGGGTTGAAAGGTTTGGGGTTGAAAGGCTTTGGGGTTTAGGAGCATAGGGCTTTCGGGGTGTAGGGTCTAGGGGTTTAGGGTACAGGGTTTAGGGCTTAAAGTTGTGGAGCTTAGGGTTTAAAGTTTATCGAGGGTCTGCTCCCGGGTATTTGGGGCTATAGGGTGCCTCTAAAGAGTTCAGGGTTCCTTTAAAGCATCTAGAAGGGATCTACAGGTTTTCGGGTTTGGGGTTTAGGGTCTGTTGAAGGGTTCCTTTAAGGGATCTGTAAGAGCTGTAGGGTTTAGGGTTTGGAATTCGGGTTTGGGGTTTCTAGGGGTCTTTACAAGCAGGAGCTTAGGGGTCTCTTTGACAAGGAAAAAGGTGTAGGGTCCTTATTTTGTGCTTTGGATGTTCGGTGGTCTTCTTCTGTTTCTACAAAGGGGGTGTTAGGGTTTGGGATTCGGGGCGTAGGGCTTAGGCCTTGGAGTTTAGAATTTAGGATTTAGAGTTCAGGCTTTAGGGTGTGACGTCTAGGTTTTGGCGGTTCAGGCAATAAAAACAAACACCTAGCTTACAGGTTCACGGGACTGCGTAACAAGGGCTTGGTTCTAAAATT